CATACCCACTACCAAGTCAATTTGTTGCTCTCACCTCCTTTGCCTACCACCCTCCACCTTCCCCTTTTGTAACCTCAGTTCTGCAGACAAATTTGGGAGCTTTATGTCTGTTCCTTTGCTTTGATTTTTGTATGCTACATATGAGTGAAATCATCTAGTATTTGTCTTTCTCCTTCTGACTTATTTTGCTTAGCTCATTTCCTCCAGTTCCATTCTTGTTGCAAATAGCAAGATTTCATCTTTATTTATTTTTTAATGCTGAGTAGTAGTCCCGTGTGTATATATACCACATCTTCATCCACTCATCTATCTGTGGGCGCTTAGGTTGTTTTATATAGCTTGGCTATTTTAAGTAGTGCTGCACTGAACGTAGAAATGCATATACGCCTTCAAATTAGTGTTCTTTCATTCCTTGGGTAGAATCATAGCAGTGGAATTGCTGGATCATATGGTAGATTTATTTTAATATCTTGAGAAACATCTAAACTGTTTTCTACAGAGATTGGACTAGTTAGGCTACATTTCCACCAACAGTATACAGGATTCCTATTTCTCCACACCCTGTCAACACTTGTTTCTAGTTTGCTTTTGTTTTTTGTTTTTTTTTAATGTGGGACATTCTCACAGCTGTGAGGTGGTTACTCATTGTGGTTTTGATTCACATTTCCCTCATAATAAATGATGATCAACACTTTCATGTGCCTGCTGGCTGTCTATATGTCTTCTTTGGAGAAGTGTCTGTTTAGCTTTTCTGTTGGTTTTTTGATGGGTTAGTTTTTTATCGTTGGTTTTTTGATGGGTTAGTTTTTTATCGTTATCTGCGTTTTTTTTTTGTAGATCTTGGATATCAGCCCTTTTCAGGTGTATGATGTACAGATACTTTCTCCCATTTGGTAGGATGTCTTTGTTTTAATGATGGTTTCTTTCATCATGCAGAAGCTTTGTAATGTGAGGTAGTCTGATTTGTTTATTTTGCTTTAGTTTCCAAAAAATATCACTAAAGCCAACATCATGGAATATTTTGCCTGTGTTTTCTTCTTTATTATGGTTTCAGATCTTACAGCCAAGTCTTTGATCCACTTTGAATTTTGTGTATGGTCTGAGATCGTGGTCTAGTTTTGCCTGTAACTGTTTGATTTCCCAACACTTTTTCTTCTCTATAGACTTTCCTTTCTTCACTGTATGTTCTTGGCTTCTTTGTTGTATATTAATTGTCCATGTAAGTGTAGGTTTATTTCTGGGCTCTCAATTCTATTCCATTGATCTCTGTGTGTTTTCATAACAGTACCATACTGTTTTGATCACTATGACTTTGTAATTTGAAGTCTGGAAGTATAGTACCTCCATTCTTTTTTATTAGAATTAGAATTTTGTAAATGTTAGAACGCATGCCTTATATATTATACATTTAAAATTAATTTGCATTTGCTGATCTTTGCTTTTCCCCAATACTAATTTTTATATTACTTGTTTTGTTCAGTGCTGTGAACTGTTGATAATTTTTATAGTCATCTTTTTTTTTTTTTATATAGAGGCATGTTTTTTTCTTTCTTTCTTTCTTTCTTTGTTTTGTTTTTGTTTATACATGCACTGGGTACAGTCAGAAGCGCGGGAGGGTGAGAGAATTCACCAGAGCCAGAGCGGAGAACAGAGCAGGCAGAAGGACCGAAGTACACTGCTGAGGGGAGCAGCGGGCGGCAGGAGAGGTCTGCGCGCCATGTGGGACCCTCCTCCGGTGGCCGGGAGCAGCCGGGATCGAACCGGCGCCGCAGAGGCCGCGGGCAGCTTTGCAACCCAGCGCTCAACCGCTGCGCCACCGGGGAGGCCCTATAGTCATCTTTTGACACTGGTAGCCTCTCCTTTTGGAGTGAATTAGAAACTGGTATCGCTGGAGGGAAAATTGATCTGACTGATAGTTTTTTTTGGGGGGGGGTATATTTTTGGTTTGCTCGCTTGCTTGATTGATTGGTTTTTTTTTTTTTTAAGATTTATTTTATTTTTATACAGGAACTGGGGTACAGGCCAGATGCGCGGGAGGGTGAGAGGATTCACCAGAGACAGAGTGGGGAACAGAACAGGCAGACTGACGAAATACACTGCTGAGGGGAGCAGCGAACAAGACAGGAAAGGTCTGCTTCGCCATGTGGGATTCTTGCCAGCTAGCCAGGATCGAGCCTGTACTGCAGGGGCTGCGGACAGCTTCACTGTGCGGCGCTCAACTGCCTGCTCCACCAGAGAGGTCCCTACTGATAGTTTTTTAACCCATTCACACATATTATTTAATCCTTTAGTTTGATCACAGCTTTGACACCGGAAGATTCTTTATAGTGGTGAAAATCTTGACATACCTTTAACGATGATAGACTTCTCTGGTCTTTTTCCCAGTTTTTGTCTGGCACTACCATTGCTGTGCAGGATTGAGGTTGTTGATAGCAACTGTGGACCCTGGGGAATAGTCACCAAGAACTATGAGGGGTTGTAGGTAGCTGTGTTTCCATGGGTGACCTCCAGGGAACCCCGTACTTGTCCAGTGTTAATTACCTTATATTGCAACCTAATTGTTAAGAGCTTAAGTGTTGTTAACAAATATTTGTTGAGCAGTTGTCCTCTTCTTACACTTTCGTGCTCCTGTTGCAACACTGCGCATAGATATCTTATAGAACATAACTTAAACCAATCTCTTTTTCTGAAAAGTCTCCTCTGCCTTCTTCAGCTTCCCTCCTATTCTCGTCTACTGTGGTTAATAGTGACACCATTTATTTTACTCTTTCAAACCAGAACTTGAACATTTGGAATTATCTGTACTCTTTACACTTGATACGTTTTGTATCTAATAAATTATCATACCATATTTCTTTGGCCTCCAAAAATATCTTTCATATCCATAGTGCTCTTCTTTCCCAATACTGAGGTAAATAAAACCCAGTGTTTCTCCCCTGGACTATTTGAGCAATCTTCCTAAATTTTACCCCAAATCTGCTACTCATCTTCTACCAAATTATCCTTAAAAATACTCATCTATTGCTGTTGCTGTTTTGCATTTTGCTTTTTTTTAGTTGGCAATATGCTTTAGAAATTTTTCCAAGTACTTCCTATGGCTCTGTCTTCTTTTTAATGCTACTTAGTATAGTTACATAATATGTGTATATTCTAGTTTACTGACTCTTAACCATTCCTCTGTGAATCAACATTTATTACATTTTTTTCTTTACCTGTTAAAGAAAAGACTGAAATACATGTCTTTGAATATGCGTCTTTGTATAAATGTTGAAGTATGTTGATGTCAAAAAACAGAATTCCTGGATCAAAGGAATATATATCATTTAAAATGTTAATAGAGGGCCTCCCTGGTGGCGCAAGGGATTGAACACCACACTACGAAGCAATCCGCAGCCTCTGCAGCACGAGTTCGATCCCCAGCCGGCCAGGGAGCAACTCACATGGTGCGGCAGACCTCTCCTGACTCTCCTGCTGCTCCCCTAAACAGTGTATTTCAGTCAGTCTGCCTGTTCTGTTCCCCACTCTGTCTCTGGTGAACCCTCTCACCCCCCACACCTCTGGCCTGTACCCCAGTTCTTGTATGCATAAATAAATAAATCTTTTTAAAAAACCTAACAAACCTTAGCTAGATTAAATCTTTAAAAAAAAAAAAAAAGATTTATTTATTTATTTATACAAGCACTGGGTACAGTCAGAAGCGCGGGAGGGTGAGAGAATTCACCAGAGCCAGAGCGGGGAACAGAACAGGCAGACTGACGAAATACACTGCTGAGGGGAGCAGCGGGTGCGGCAGGAGAGGTCTGTCGCACCATGTGGGACCCTCGCCGGTGGCCGGGGATCGAACCAGCGCTGCAGAGGCTGCAGGCAGCTTCGCAGCCCAGACTCAACCGCTGTACCACCAGGGGAGACCCGTTAGATTAAATCATTAAAAATAAATAAATAAATAAAATGTTAATAGATACAAGTCACTTTACAAGAAGTGCCTATCAATTATATTCTCATTCTCTGTGCCTCTCACTTCCCGCCCCCACCAAGACCATTTTATTCAGGACCTAGTGTACGTCCCCCAGTCTTAACTCTGTGATTGGGACTTCTTCTCTCATTCACTTGCTCACTGTCAGTCACAGTTCAAGTTTTTATTTAGTCCAGAGTATGTGCCAGGCACTGTGTTCTATGCTGGGGCCTCAGCACTGGACAGATATGTTCTCTGGCTTCACCTACTTGAAATTCTTACCACACAGAAATTTTTGCCATTTCCTTAAGCATTGGCAGTTGCTACTCTCTCTTCCTGTTACAACACTTTATTCTTTTAACCTTTCTGCCTAGAGAATTTTCTTAGATCATTCTTTTACCCTTTATCTAGCTTAGATTTATCCTCTGTCATATCATCTCCATCACCCCTTAGGTAAGTGGACCTTCCTCTGTGGTCTCTCTGAACATTTCACTTACATCCTTTTTATATATAGTGTTTATTCCAAAGGGTTTTAATTACTCACTTATATCTGTGTGCCTCTGTGTGTGTATGTGCCTGTGTGTGTGTGCTTGCACACCTGTACACACAGATCTCTCCTGTTAGCTTGTAAACGCAGTAGGGACAAGACTCTAATGATACTTACCTTAATGCTCCCCCAACTTAATGCCTTAAACACTGGGATTTCTTCACTAATGTCAGGTAAATGAACAAATAACTTATAATGAACTTATTTTGTGCAGGGCAGTCTGGGTCTTGTAACAGACTTGGTCTGTCTTCAAGGACTAACCATACAGTCAGGGAGATAAGAAATAGATAAGTAGACTGCAGTGCAGGTGTGATAAGCTCTGTGTAGAGGCAGGGACAAGGACCCGAGGAAAGCTCACTGGGAGAGCTTAATTCTTGTGAGTGGGTATTATATTAAGTTTCCAGTTGATGGGATTTTTTTTTCTTGCTTGTGCCATGTTTAGCGAGGGATACACATAATGAGAAGATATGGTCCCTTGCTTTAAGAGTCCTTTAGTCAAATAAGGCCTTTGAGCAGATTGGAAGTCTGGCCTATGGACCAAGTGTGGCCTGCCCGCTTTGTACAACCCATGAGGTAAGAATGATCTTAAATTGTTTAAAGAAGACTATTTTGTGACAAGGGAAATGATGTGAGATTCAGATTTCAGCATCTGCAATTAAGTTGTGTTGGCACATAGCCACCTTCATGTGTTTACCTGTGTCTCACAGCATTTCTGCTACAGCAGCAATGTTGAGTAATTGGCCCCTAACACTTACGGGATTTTCTCTTCGGCCTTTTACAGTGACAGTTTGATGACCCTTGAGTTAGAGAACAGGGAACATTCAAATCAAATAGAGAAGAGCAAGACATTCATATTGAGAGGGTCAGTTTGAGTTCAGAGAATGGGACAATGAATATGCAAGGCATAGAAACTTTATAGCTTAATAGATGATCTGGCTTAACTTTTTATCTTACATACTAGGCAGAAGATGAAAAATCTTGCCAAAGTCCACACGACTTGTCAGGGACAGTGAATGGAGAAGAAGCTTTGAGGGCTTTAGAGGATGATAAGATTATTGTTGGGGTAGGGCCAGATTCAACAATGGCTTCACCCTTGAAAAATGAGGATTAGAGAACAAGCTAAGAACAGACTTTGTTACTCCGTCTGAATGCAGTATTCTTTCTCTTCTGTTTCTAGAAGGCCTTTGAGCCCTACTTCGAGATTTTGGAAGTTTATGCCACAAAAGCCAAGAATTATGTAAATGGACACTGCACCAAGTATGAGCCCTGGCAGCTGATTTTGTGGAGTGTCGTGTGGACCCTGCTGATAGTCTGGGTATATGAGTTTGTGTTCCAGCCTGAGAGTAAGTATGCCACCCCTGCTGTAAAGGTAGAGGTTTAGTGGGATTTCACTAGCCTTGGACCCATACTGACACATTGAATTAACTTCTTACCTTTTGGTTATGATTTTTAAAAGCTCCGTAAGTGAAAAATAGCACATTATCCGTTGACTGGTAGATATCTCTTATGTAACTCTCTACTTGTGTTGATATGGATATGCAGCTTACATCAAAACTTCTGAGAAATTATTCATAGCAAGGATATCTCAGAGTGTGGCTTAAATTCAGTTCTAGTTTCTTGCCTAGAACATAATTGTGTCATCTGGAGTTCCCCAAGCAGAAATGTATTGCTTTTTAGGCCATCTTTTTAAATAAAGAGTATGTAAAATTGGAACATTCCTCATGAGAGGACCCTGTGAGTACCTGCTATGTGCCAAGCACTGTGCTAGGCCCTGGGGATAGTGTGCAAGCATTACACATCTCCTGTCTTGGAGTTGAACTTCTGATGTCAGCCAACAGAACATGTTAAGCTTCCCTGGGAGTGAGTTAGGGAGTCAGACTCCCAAGGGGATGAAGGAGCCCACCTCTTAGGGCATGCAGAAGAAGATAAGTTTCTTGTGATCAGTGTGTAGATCCTCTGTCTTTTCGAAGATTTAGGTTCTTCTCTTGCCCACTCCTCTCCCCTTCCCAATTTGGAGTTCTGGTTTCCATGTTACCTCCTTGTGAATTGTTTTTACCCTGCAGGCTGTGCTTGGTAAGTTTTGCTTGATTTCACCCAAATTCAAATGTTAGCAGTGGTGGGGGGTATTTTCTAACACCCCCCTGCAGCCCTTCTGTGCTCTTGGTAAAATGTCTGAGTCTGAGTTCATTTCCTTGGGATAGGAAACCAGTAACATTGAAGAAAATTGCTTGTCATTTCTCATGTTTTTAAAATTTCCTGTTTGCTTCCCTGATAATGCCTGGTTGAAGGGATTCTTTAACTATACTTATTTTGCTTTTCTTCCTCTTCCTCCAGGAAGTTAGCTTAGATAAGCCAGATTCTGTTTTTACCTCTCTACCACGCAGTAGCCACAGAGCCATTCTAGTAACATTGCAGAGTGATGGCGTAATAAATTCTGCACTTAATTACAATGAAAATGAGACAGAACTCCCTGTCTAAATTGTAGTTTACTGCTGCCTTTAAAACCCTGTCTTCAGTTTTTGCTATTAGTCCTTACAGGGTTTCCTCATAAACTCTGACACATTAGACTAACTAGCCCTTTAGCTGCATCTGCTCAGTGGTGTGGGTATGGGCTCAATGTTGTCTTTCTGCTCAGGTTTTATTGCTTTTCCAGGAAGCATTTCATACAGTAGTGTCTACCATCTTGACCCGCCAGGTAGTCTGTTCCAGAGGACCCTTAGGAGTAGCAATAAATGTTCTTTTTTTTTATTCTAAAATATACTTAACAGAAATCTGCCATTTTACCCATTTTTGTTTATTGTTCAGAAATATTAAGTATTATATTTACATTAATGTACAACCATCTACCATCCATTTCTGCAGCCTTTCCATCATCCTAAACTGAAACTCTGCACCCATTAAGCCCTAACTCCCCGCACCCCAGCCACCATTCTGTGTGCTTGTCCTTTTTTTTTTTTTTTTTTTTTTAAGATTTATTTATCTATTTATACAAGAACCCAAGAACCAGGGTATAGGCCAGATGCTCTGGGGTGGGGGTGGGGGGGGGTGCGGTGAGAGGATTCACCAGAGACAGAGCGGGAACAGAACAGGCATACTGACGAAATACACTGCTGAGGGGAGCAGCAGGTGAGACAGGAGAGGTCTGCCGCACCCTGTGGGACCCTCCCTGGCTGGCTGGCTGGTGGAGATCAAACCACTGCAGAGGCTGCACAGACCTCCTGCGCCACAAGGGGAGGCCCGTGCTTGTCATTTTAAGGTGGTACTTGTGAAACCAGCTTGTGGTTAGAAATCTTGAGATATATATTTCTTTGCTGTGATTAGCTTTAGCTTTAGGTATTTATTTCTGTTTTCAGTTCTGCAGTCCATGGTATCCATGTGCATTTTGCTTAACTGGTGAAGGCACAACCCTCTTAGGTTCCGGTTCTTACCTACTTACCTTTAGTGTTCAAAAGGAACAGACTGGACTTTGAGCATCCTATGAGAATTTTAGTAGTAGCAGTAAATTAATAGGGTATGTTACCTAAATCTTCATAAGCTGAACTCCAAAACATTTCAGTTGTTTTATTTTTTATAACATTTTTTATTATAAAAGTAATAACTTGTTCATGGTAGAACATTTAGAAAATATAGATAATAATGTAAAAACAAAATTAACATCTTGTTACATAGAGATAAACAGCATTTATGTATCTTTATCTATTTCTATATCTGAAATAGGCTGAACCAGACAAAGTATAGTTTTTGTAGGTCACAAATTACTGCTGTTGGCATTTCCGTGCAGTTTAACACAGATGCACACTTTTTATTTTGCAATTTCCAACTTGAATTTAGACAGATAAAAATGTCTTCTTGCCAGAGATGGAAGATAATTTTGATAAAATTGCTATTTTTTTCCCCAACACCCTGCTAATGGAGAAATATTTGTACATATCACTGAACGATCAAGTCATTATTAGTATATTGCCCTAGAGAAGTCTAAAGTCTCGGCTGGTGAGGAATTTTGCTGCTCCTCAGACCCTGAATACCCTTCTGAGGGAGAGGGGTAGTTCTGGAAAACAGGATAGCCACTGGGCTAGATAAGAACTGCAGTGGCAGGAGGGTGGGCAGGTATGAGCAGTTCTTGGGTGTTATCTCAATTAATTCTACTTTCTGATTATCTGCTCATATCATTACTACTTGATGTTGATTTTAACTGTGGGATTGCCCGTAGTTCATCAACAGATACCAAATTTCTATGTGGGAGGAGGTGGTAAACTCTCCTGGTTTCTAGCCCTGGCACCTTGGGCAACAATATCCTTCATCTCTCTTGACTGTTTTCCTTACAATAAAACGATCATAACAATACCTGCCTCACCTGGTCATGGGACTATAGGATTGAGTGGGTGTAACTTGTGTGAGAAGAATTTTTAAGTTTGAACTGTGCATTGCTGTTCTTATCACTGGCATTTCCTGTTTATTGCCTTAACATAACCTGCCTTTCTTTCTGTACCTCTGGGGACTTTTTCTCCTGAGATCATCTTTAGATTCCTACCACATGATCTTTCCTTTTTTAATTTGTCCATCTTTGATGCTGTATTCTGTTTTTTCTACCCCATATCTTACAACTTTGCCAAAATTAGTCTATTCTTTTCTCTTCCACGTAGACAAATAACTGTCCTTTTGGAAGTCTGACTCAGTTTGCTAATTTTTAGGTCTCTTTTACCTCACTCATTAATCACTTCATCTATTAAGTAAGGAAGTGGTTTTGAATTTGTATAGCTTTTGTATTATTAGAAATAGTCAAATAACAAGCAGCTTAAATATAACCAGCACTAGATTATACTCCCTTGATGGACTATCAGGGTAACATTTAAAATGTGTTTAATGAGGGGCCTCCCTGGTGGCACAAGGGGTGAAGACACAGCACTATGAAGCTATCTGCAGCCACTATAGCACGAGTTCGATCCCTAGCCAGGGAGCTAACCCACATGTTGTAGCAGACCTCTCCTGACTTGCCCCTGCTCCCCTCAGCAGTGTATTTCAATATATCTGTGTGTTCTGTTCCCCACTCTGTCTCTGGTTAATCCTCTCACCCCCCACACCTCTGGCCTGTACCCCAGTTCTTGTATGCATAATTGTATGCATAAATACATAGATCTTAAAAAAAGAATTTTTAATGATGTAGAAAATAAGTGAAAAGAGTATAGATATACCATTGTATGTACAGCCTAATCTCAGTTCTGTATACTAGCATGTTGAACATAGCATGGGAAGGAAATACTCCAAAATTCAAACAAAACAATAGCTACAGTAGTTTCAGTCTTGTCTTCTTATGCAATCTCTGTTTTAGTTACCTGGTCTTATCCCAGATACTTACAGACTTTCAGCTAAAAACGACAGGGATACAACCTAAGCAGAAACAACTAGTGAAGATATAAGGCATTTTGTAACAGATATCAAAGGAAGATACGGATACATTCTGGCTGTTGAGAAAGAGCGTCTGGCCAGGGATTTGTAATGCTCAGATCTCTTAGGAATGCAGTGAAAGTTCATATTCAGTTCTTGCCCTGTATGAAAGCTAGGTCTAGATTCCTTTTCTTCATCTGGAAAAACTGAAAATTTCTACTTTTATAGAGTGAAAAACAAAGACTTCAGATAAATCATCTATCATGATTTGATTTGTGGCCTTGAACAAATTATAAATGCTTTGACCCTTGGTTCCCTTTGGATAGTATGCCCTGACTTCTGTGCCAATTTCAAAATCTTGTCACAATCATGCATTAAAAGATATACAATCTATTTAGATGTCACATATTTATAGTCGACAGCATCAGAATTCCATATTTGTCCTTTGTACTGTCCAACAGAAAGGATTCTGATTGGTGTTCATGATAAAGGCTAATTTTAGGTCCAGAAAATGTTGCTAGGATGAAAGTGTTCAATGAGAGACTGAAACACAAGCCCTAAAAAACAGTATGTGTTGGTTATTTGTGGAGAAGGGAGAGAAATGTTGGGCATGTGGAGACCTTGGGAAGGTAAAGAACTCTGGACTGAACACTTCTGGGAATTTCTCCTATGGTAGACTGTCAGGTATATGTTAGGGTGTGTGTTACATGGAATTTATTTCAGTGTGGTTTGTAATAGCAAATATTAGAAACAACCAAATTACACTTTAGGAAGGGACAGGTTAAGTAAATTATGGAATATCCATATGATGGAATACTTGGCAGCTATAAAAATGATTGATCTCTTACATTTCTCAGTAGGCAAAGTTAGTACAGTACTGGAGTATGCTGCCTTGTGGGTAAAAGGAGACACAAATAAAACTATATCTTTTTTTCTTTTATATACGTGAAGAAATTCTAAAAGGGTAATTAGAAACTAATAGTAGTGTTTACATGAGACTGGGAGATAGGTGAGACTTTCTCTCTGTGTGTGTATGTTTACACATTTGAGCCACATAAATGTGTTACCTTTGTGAACTGAAGTAAGGCTGTGGAGGAAATATTGAATATTAAATTCCATCACTGTGGCTAGTAGGTCATAATCATGGAAATTTACTCGAATAATAAAACCATCTGTTTCTTTAGGTTTATGGTCAAGGTTTAAAAAGAAATGTTTCAAGCTCATCAGGAAGATGCCTATTATTGGCCGCAAGGTAAGTAGAAGCTATAGATCTCCAGACCATCTCCAGCCACTCTCCTCCTGTAATCATATTTCTTTCTTCCTATTTATTGAACCTAGTTTTCTCAAGCAGGGAGGGTGATTTTGTCCCGTAGGAACATCTGACAATATTTGGAGACATTTTTGGTTATAATAACTGGAGGGTAGCGCTTGTTGTTGTCATCCAGTAGGTGCTGGCCAGGGGTCCTGCTAAACATTCTACAGTGGACAGGACAGCCCCCCACAACAGAGAAGTGCCAAGGTTGAGAAGTGTGACTTAACCCTTTCTCCAGCTTATTTGACTTAAGGAGAAAGGAGGAGTCTGGGTTTTTTTTTGTTTTTTTTTTTTTTTTTTAAAGATTTATTTATTTATTTATTTATACAAGCACTGGGTGCAATCAGAAGCGTGGGAGGGTGAGAGAATTCACCAGAGCCAGAGAGGGGAGCAGAGCAGGCAGAAGGACCGAAGTACACTGCTGAGGGGAGCAGCGGGCAGCAGGAGAGGTCTGCGCGCCATGTGGGACCCTCCTCCGGTGGCCGGGGAGCAGCCGGGGATCGAACCGGCGCTGCAGAGGCTGCGGGCAGCTTCGCAACCCAGCACTCAACCGCTGCACCACCGGGGAGGCCCGAAACGAAGAGTCTGTTAAGGAAGAATTTTGTCTGTTAAGGAAGAATTTTAAGTTAGAAAACCTGCCAGTAGAGACACAATTCTTTTTTTTTTTTTTAATAATAAATTTTATTTTTATATTCCCCATACAATTGCAGTAGAGACACAATTCTTTAGAGCAGTATTTGACTGGGCTGAACTTAGATAAAGCAGGTCCTTGAATAACATCGTCTGTTATAATTAGGAGGGAAAGAAAAATATCACCCAATGTTAAATGAAAAAATATTCAAGGATCTCATTTCCTTAAACGTCATTTTGCTGAAGGTCCAAGTTTCCAAAAACTTGTGACATTAAGTGAGAATTTCCTGTATTTATCCTTGGGTTGGGTGTTTATGTGGTTTAGAGCAGGGATTGGCAAACTCTCTGTAATGGACTAGATGTGAAACATTTTAGGCTTTGTGAGCCATGCTGTGTCCGCCCCACTCCTCAAGTGTGCCCTTTTAGAGGGAAAGCAGTAGGGTGACAAGTAAAGGCATGGACCTGGCTGTGTTCCAATAAAACTCTCTTTGCCAAGACAAGTGGTAGGTCAAATCTGGACTGTATTTTGCTGATCCCAGGTTTACAAACTTAGATAACAGAGCTACTCTCTTGCCCTTTGTACCTATCTACAATATAGTATGTGCCCTTCACACTATCCTCTCCACCCTCAAACACACCAGATAAGACAGTCACCTCTGTACCCTTCCCACAGATTCTTTATCACCAATGACAATTAATAGGACAAGGCCCCATTGCAAAATAGAAGGAAGGCTAGCGAGCCTTTGAGATCATCGTTTCCCCCAGTACCCTGACTCTCCTTGGTTTTCCTTCAAGCTTTCCCAGCCTTAATCTGCCTTCAAGCTTTCTTTCACTTTTGCCTTTTAATTCCTTTTTCCCTTTCCTGGCAAACCAGAGAAGTTGTGAGTTGTCTTTAGCTTTTGACCAAAATCTAATCATACTACTGTGCTAACAGTTATCCCAGAATTCTCTCTCTCCTTAGCTGTGGGAAAGTAGAGTAATTAGGACAAAGAAAGGGAATAAGAGTAGATAGACTTTTATTTGCTTCCCAAATGATATTCAGCCCTAAGATTAAATCTAATTTAGAGCTTAGAGAGTAAGGGGTAGGGCCGAGGCACAGGCATCATGGAGGAACTGTAGCACAAAGGTTAAGAGAGCAGCATTTCTCCTCAGTCCCTATATTTTTTCCACCCTTACACTTGTCTCCTTTAATTCGAATTTTGAGACAAACACTAGAATTTCAGAACCTATTTTAAATTCATGAAATAACACTTAGAAGATACTCACAACTATATAATCAGCTTTCTTCTTTTTTTTGCAGATTTTGAGGTTCAGGAACAAGAAGTTATTTGAGTGTGTGTGTATATTCTCCCCTCGTTCACACATCTGCACTCGCTTATTCAGTGCTGGTTTATTGAACACCTTCTTGTCGAGTGCCCTCTTGGGTGCTGGGGGTAGAGTGATGAACAAGACCCAATCCTTCCTCTTTGGCATTTACATATTTAGACAGAAAACAAGTAAGCAAGTGTGTAAGGATTGCATTTTGAATGCGATGAAGAAATTAAAATTGGGTAATGTGATTAGAGGTTCTGAGGCAAGAATTGGGGGTGGGAAAGTAGTTGTTGTCTTTCTAACATACCTCTTATTTTTTGTTTGTTTTATCACAACAGCACAGTCCGTGCATGGGAACTGAGCTTTCATAGCCTGTTCCTGTGCGTGGTTGCCATGTATGCAGCACAAGTTCTTTATTTACAGCTTTAAAAATACTGGCATGTGTATGGCATGCCTGGCCCAAGAATGTGGACTCTGCTGCCTGCCATTGTTAGGCAGCTACAGACGTGTTTTAAAGGAGTGGCTTTCCTGTGGTTTTAAGAAGGGTCATATACAAGAAGACCCTAGTGGTTTTTGTTCACCTACAGCTAGAGATGAGAAAATCTAAATAGTTTGGAGTAACATCTGGAGCGTCAAACTTTAATACATATACCGATGAAAACCATCTCACTGAAACACAAATTGTGGTCTTCGCCACTCGCCCCAAACCTGTAAACCCCAGTCACTGCTTCAGTTTTCATTGACTGCATCTCTGCCCACAGTATTTATTAAGTTCAACACTTACTTATTAAGGGAGTAAGTGAATGAATGAGAGAATGTTTCAGAAGCTGTGGCTATGAGAATGGAAAAGAAATAGCCATAGTTGATAAATTATGCAGCAGAAAGGACCTTAGCTCCTCCTACTACTTAGATTTCAGTTGATAACCTAAGGAGATAATGCAAGCTTCCTGAAAGTTTCCAGAATGTCTTGTAGGTAGGAGTTGGGTCGGACTTCCAGATTCCTGGTGTGCTCTGTTGAAGGAACTCATTACGTGGCACAAGCAACAAAATCTGGCTACTGTTTATGGCTCTACCTTTGTTTCTTTAGTGCACGCACTGTGGCTGCTACCAGGGCAGGAACAAGGTCCAAGTATTGTGCTCAGGAAGTGGTGATATTAGCAAATGAAGATCAAGTAAAGCAATGGTGATATCAATGTGGCAGAAGAAATGTGGGCAGAGGTGGGATTGGATGCATCTTTGACCTTCGGAGAGAAAGTGAACTTTTCATATTTCTAAGAAACTTGCACATACCAGAAAGTGGCTGACTAGTCAAAATGTTTCCATATCTCTGTAGAAATAATGCCATTCTTGTTTTGTAGCACTTGTGGAGTTCCCAGCCCTGAGCTGTTGACTTGATGTCTCAGCTGGTTCATTTACTCTCTGTACTATTTTCTTCCATTGCCTTGTTAATTTGTTTTTCTTATCTTTGGAGATCCAAGATATATTGAAGAAGACCAAGGATGATATTAACAAGAGCATGTCATTCCTGAAAATAGACAAAGAGTACGTGAAAGCTCTGCCCTCTCAAGGTCTGAGCTCATCTGAAGTTCTGGAGAAGCTCAAGGAATACAGCTCTATGGGTATGATTCTTTACCAGTGTATCTCTTTCCTTACCAGGGTGGGTGTGGGTGTCATTAAAGGTTAAGATCAGATCATCCCTTGTACCTACATGTTTTGGAAGTCAACTCCCTGTTTCAGAGGTTGAATTTCTTATTTTAAAAATTGCATTTAAGTTCATTTTTCATCTATAAAGCACACAAATCTCAGAGAGTGTGGAACTTGGTTTGGTATCCTTTTCTAAGCCTGAATAAAACAAGATACATTTGTGTTTTAAAAAGAGATTCATAAGTGATATGAATGAAATATAGATTCATTATAGAAGTTAGGAAAGATGCCCAGAGAAACAAAAGAAAATGAAAAATTACCAATTCCATCATCAAAAGATAAACACACGATATATATGTATCTGTATCTATATCAGAATGTTAATAGTGTTTTGTGTTGTAGTCACACACACATCCATCCATCCATCCATACATGCATACATAACATGTATGAGCACATATGAGAAGGATAAATGCACCAGGATAGACATTTAAGAGTTTAACCTGTGGAATCAGCCCAGATTCACATCCTGGCTTGACCACGTGTGACTTGGGTGAGTTCCTTAACTTCTCTCTCCCTCAGTTTCTGTCTCTGCAATGAGGAAACAGCAGGTCCTTGAATAAAGTCATTTGTTATAACATTAATGAGGAAAACACAGTCAGTTCCCAGCCAGATCTACTGGGCGCCCCTGTCTGTGTGGTTTTTCTCCAGGTACTCCAGCTTCCTCTCACACATCCCAAAGATGTGCACATGAGGTTCATTGTCATGCCTGCATGTCCCCGACTTTGTGACTGTGGGTGTTGGCTGAGTGTGCCTTTGACAGACAGGCATCCTACTCAGGGTTGGTGCCTATCTTCTGCCCTGAACTGCTGGGATTAACTCTGGCCACCCAACACCCTGAATGGGGATAATCAGGTCGGAAAATAGATGAATACAAATGATTGTTTAACAGAAGTACTTTGATCTTTACAAGCTTACCATGGGAACTTAACTCTTATTTATTTATATCAGTTAAGTTGTGATAAATTGGTTTCCTTATAAGTCATTTCACTTAAAAGTAACACTTTCCAATAACCTATTAATGAAGTTAACCATAATAATAATAGTGCTTATCTGAAAGGATGATGATCGAGATTGAGAGCATACATGTAAATGTAGAACTCCTGTCATTTAGTAAGTCCTGAATAAATGTTAAATATAACTTTAATATAATTTATTACAGATTAAGATCATATTATAAATATTTTTAAAAAATAATTTTTGGTTTGGCATAATTTTAGAGATATAAAAAATTTGCAAAGACAATTCAGATTTCTGCTCTGCCCCTCACCCGCCTTTTCCTGATGTTAACCTCTAAAATAATTATGGTATGTTTGTCAAACTGAAAAATTATGGCGCAGCAGACCTCTCCTGACTTGCCTGCTGCTCCCCTCAGCAGTATACTTTGGTCTGCCTATTCTGTTCCCCACTCTGTCTCTGATGAATCCTCTCACCCCCCCACACCTCTGGCCTGTACCCCAGCTCTTACATGCATAAAATAAATCTTAAAAAAAAAAAAAACTGAAAAATTAACATTATACAGTACAATCTTAAGCTACAAATTCTTCATAAGTTTTTCTATAAATGCCTTTTTTCTTTTCTAGGATTCAATACAGGGTAACACATGGCATTTCAAAACAAATGCATTTTAAATTTCTAATTGACAGGTATTGAGTTTTTTATATTGGATCCTGTCCAGGATTTATTGGTGACGTAAAGCAGGGATTAGCACCCTGACACCTGTATATTAAAGATTTTCATGATTATGGTGATTATTTGCTGCCCATATTTCCTTCCCTTCCACTTTTTAAGTCCCTATCTATTGTTATACTCTGTAACACCAGTAAAAGAACAGTAAGTGAAACCATGGGCCCTGTTTTTAAAGGGCTAATGACCTCTGATCTGAAGACATTCTTGGTACAGAGCAGTGTCCTCCAAGGAAAGAGGGAAAATCAGACTGGTAGCAGAGCTTAACGCAGGGTGAGATTGAGGGGTTTCTCTGGGTAGTCACTGCTCAGTACTTTGCTCTCTCATTGGAGCTGTAGATACTTTATGTTAGTGTTTTTCTGTAACATGCCTACTTTCAGTAGCAAAGGATCTCAGACACCCATATCAGCAGATTTGTTGCTATAATGTAGACAGGAAGTGGATGTCAGGAAGCTTCCCTCTGAACTTTATCCCAGTGTTGACAGTGTTCCTGATCCTTATGCTACAGCATAAGTTGCTGGAAGCAGGTGGCTAATTCTATGGATTTCTAAGCTCATCTGAAGGACCCCTGAGGCTCAGGGGTCCTTGTCTCAGCATGGTTTGTTTAGTTCGGGATTTGTTCCCTTGGCTCCAACTCTGATGATAATAAACTCAAATTTCACACTTTTGTCTTGCTTCTTTCTGCTAACTCTGTTCATAACAGTTCCCAGGGTGAGAGGGAGGAAACGATTGCCGAAAAAATTCAGGCTCAGAGAATAGAAAGTGAGTTTATAAATAGAGGAAAGTTTTTCTGCTACTACAAGGCAGGTGGGAATGAGGACACTGTAGTAGATGCTGTTAATAACTTTTCCACACTGTTGTTGATAATCTTTCATCATGATTTGGTGATAGTTCTTTATTGGAATTCTTTCTTGATTCAGTATAATGACTGTCTTGAATGTCCACTTAAGTGGTTTTTTTTTTTTTTTCTCTTTTTTCCCCAGAGGGGCTTCTTTATTAAAACTTGTTCTTCCCAAAGATTCCTGCTTACTGACTCATTGACTTAACTTTCTCTGCAGATGGTGTGTGGCAAGATGGGAGAGCCTCTGGAGCCGTCTACAGTGGGGAAGAGCAGCTCACCGAACTCCTTGTGAAGGTGAATGCCCAGTATTCTAAGGGAGGGTGTGTGGTCTCTGCCAGTTTATATTACCTCATTTTTTTTCTTTTGTAATTAAAAAAATGATTTAAGGAAAGTTTATTGTTAAAATTAAAGAAGTTAAGAAGTGATCTCCTTACCATCTCACACCAGTGAGAATGGCACATATTAAAAAAACTAGCAACAACAAATGTTGGCGAGGATGTGGAGAAAAAGGAATTCTCCTGCACTGCTGGTGGGAGTGCAAACTGCTCCAACCACTATGAGAGCTGTGTGGAGATTCCTCAACCTACTGAAGATAGAGCTTCCATATGATCCAATAATTCCCTCCTAGGTATTTACCCAAAGGACACAGAAACATTAATTCCAAAGAGCACCTGCACCCCTATGTTTATAGCACCACTATTTACACAATAGCTAAGTTTTGGAAACAACCCAAATGCCCAAAAATAGATGACTGGATCAAGAAGATGTGGTACATATACACCATGGAATATTATTCAGCATTCAAAAAAGATAAATACATGCAATTTGCAGCAACATGGATGGAGCTGGAAGGGATCATGCTCAGCGAAATAAGCCAGAAAGAAAAAGAAAAATAGAGGATGGTCTCATTCATAGCAGGAATCTAGAAAACCTAAATAAGGGACCAGGAAAAAGAATAAGAAAAGAAAGAAAAAATATAAGAAAGAAAAAATCAAAATCAACAAACAACTATGAACCAGAGACACACTATGGGGGAGGAGGGCAGGGAAAGGAGGGATTGGGGTCAAAATAAGGGGGTTGCAATTGTATGGGAAATATAAAAATAAAATTAAAAAAAATTATTTTCTTATAAAAAAAAAGAATGATCTCTTTACCTAGACACAGGTGAATATGTATAATATTGTCAAAGATATCTTCAATCCATAAGTACATTATTTATGTTTCCCTGTGCAGAAGGCAGGTAACTTGGAGAGGTTCCATCTTTTGAGATTGTTAATAAGACATCATAGTCTGTTTGATAAGAAAAGACAAAGGATGGAAAGTTGGGCTTAATTTTCTATACCAGTGAAAATGATTCCACTCACTTAATTCTCAAATCAAATGATCTGAGAATAAGCAGTACTCCTCATGATTCAGATAATTCTCATTTTGTTGTTGACTTTAGAGTTACCTTTAGCTTTCTTAATTTCCAATCAGATTTATTTTTAAAATCCCACTTTGTCACATAAAATTAGCATTGGACGGATAGTCCCTAGACCTTCAAGTTTGATATTATAACTATGAAACTGCTCACACTTCACTGAATATTACAGCTATATCTTGATTTTACTTCTTTGCTTAAAAATCCTCTAATGGCTTCCCTCTGTCTGTGGGACAAAATACAAGCTGCTTTTGTAACAGAAAATGCAAGTCCTTCATGAACAACTCCCACCTATTTTGCTCAGCCACTCCTGTAACTTTCCCATGCCTTCTCTTTACTGAGCACACCATACTCTTATAATGTGGCTTTCCTGTCCCTTCTTCACACCAGCTGTTGTAAATGATGAATCCCTGATCATGTCTCAAGGTTCTCCCCTCAGCGGATACCTCCAGACCTCTCAAGTTGTTCATCATCTTCTCTTTAATGCCCTTTACCATCATGTACATGCAACTGGTGCCATACTTACAACATGGCTGTTTTGCGCCATATACTCTTTTAGGTGCCCTGCATACATTATATTGTTTACTTATTGCTGGAACCTTACTGGATTGGTACCATAATTATTACCTTTAGCATATGAAGAAACTAACCTTACTTGACCTAAGATGACAGCTAGGAGTGCTAGGCAAAAGTGGGACTTGAAACTGGGGCTGTTTGGTGTTTTAGTCTGTACTTTAACCACCTTTGTGCTTTTTATCCTAGCCATGTGTGCAAACACATGTTTGCACATGTGTTTTAATCTTCAGGTTGGAGAAAGTAACAGCATTTTTGCAGTTTCTAGAGCTGCACCTACTACCTAGGGACTCTTGTTTAATACATGATTCTTTGTCCCTTACAGTGCAGTTGTCTTCACATCTGCTTGTATTTATTTGCAGGCTTATGGAGATTTTGCATGGAGTAATCCGCTGCATCCAGACATCTTCCCAGGACTACGTAAGATAGAGGCAGAGATTGTGAGGATAGCTTGTTCCCTGTTTAATGGGGGGCCAGATTCCTGTGGATGTGTAAGTAATATGCAAGTGGTAGCCATGATTTATTTTTAGCTTAAAATTGAAGCATTTATTAAAAACATTACACATGTAATATATGATTATTTTGGAAAAATCCATAGCAGCAGCAATTTTAAAATAGTGCTTATAATTTTTTAGTCTGTAGAGTATTGACATTTTGGTATATAGTCTTCTAGTTATTTTTTCTCTTCAGTTTTTTTTTGTTCTGAAATGCTATAAATCTACATATAGTTACTAGATTGGGTAAAGGAATACCCTTAATTCATTAAGGGATAATTACCCTTAATCCATCTAAATATAAATATTTTGGTATATTATTCTTGGCTTTTATCCACCCAACCACCCACATACTAAGCCATTCATATAATTCTGTTGAACTATATTGTTTTACTACACTATTTGTTTTACTTGACTTATAAGTTTATTATTTTGCTGTAAATTGAGTCTCATTTAGTTGGCTTAAGAATAAAGGAGTTCAGAGATGGAGAACAAGAAGACAAAGCCAAATGGGCTGGACTGTCTTTAGATTATTTTCCAACTGAGGTCTTAATCTCTTCTCAGTCTTTATTCTTCAACCTAAACTCTTTTACTTTTTATTAACTTGATTTGCTTCAGTTAGAATAGATGAGAAGTAACTTCATATACTCAAATTAGGTTGCCAGGGAGAACGTCTTTGGCTTGTGCAGATGCCATTGGGCCCAAACAACACGTAAGAGAAAATTTTCCAAATAGGGCATACTCCACTCTTTTTTCCTGATAAACGTGTCAGATATTAGAAGGTTTTTATTAACGTTGGAAGAAGTTGAATACCATAACAAGTAGTTATTTAAATTTCTGTCTTCTGGGAATGGAGGAAAATAGGAGATTATGAGCATATTTAAACATAGAATTTGGGGGTGAGACATAAAAATCAGAAGTAGAATTTAGATGTTCCTGATTTTGCAGGCAAAAGTACACTGATGTTTGTGTAACAAATGGTGATGTTGATTTGATTAGTTAGTGGGCTAAAAAGTACATATGAAGTGGTTGACTGGCAGTTTGGAAATATTTTTGCTTATGTCATTATTGGACTTTGGTAAGAGGTAGACTCACTGCAGACTTTGACTTTGCTGGTCCTCTCCTAAATTTCTTCACAACTGGTTTGACTCCCCATGTGACATTCTGAGGTTTCATGCTGGCTCACAGGAAATGCAGATGATTTGCAGAGATGACCTCAGCTGTAAGCATTTGTCTTCTCTAGCATTGAAATGCAGAGGCTACACACAAGTGACCTGTGCCCAAGTTCCAGGCATTACTTTGTGGATGGTGATCACATGCTTCAGACTTCCTGAATCCAAAAATTACTAGGCTAATAACCTTCAAACTTCTGTATTAAATGGTATTTTTATCTTATATGTGGTTATTAGGAAATATCAACAGTCACCCTCTCTTTTTTCCTTCTCATATTAAGCTATACTAAGTTGAAGATGTAGATAGTTTTACTTAGTATCAACAGATGCTCATGGCTGAATCACGTTAGTCTCAGGGGCTCAAACTGTAAAATAAAAAAAAAAAAACAAAACTAAGATTATATGAATCTTCGGAAATGATGATTCTAAGACAATAACCACCTAGCTCATTGCTTCGGCTTTTTCCCTGCCCTGTTCATTTTGAAATTATTCACTCTTGGATGTTACCAAAAGATAGACAGATGGGTCTGATGTGCTGTGTTGTGTGTGTTGGTCATGGTTTACTGGGAGTCAAATGAAGCATTAAGAAATGTTAATCAAGGGTCTATTCAATATTGGCCTCCCCTTCATGAGTATATAATCCAGTGAGGAAAACAGAAGGCATGAAATAATCTCTGAGTCTTTTTATTTCAACTCTGGTAAAACAAATCCACCTGCTTTAGAGGGGCTAGGCCTAACTTAAGGAAAACATTTTTATTCATTTCAGAACATTAGGATTTTGCTTTGTTTCAGGTAAGATAACAAAATTCTAAGCAGAGGCTTCTACTTTCAAATTTGTCAAAACCACAAGTTCTCTTTGGTGTGTCTGAATGTTTCTTGAGCTTCTAATGTATTGCATAAGTCACTAGATTTATAATTGTACATTCTTCAGTGGGCATTAAAATTTCAAAGTCAGATATACATTCTGGTGCTTTTGGATGTCAAAATTCCCTCTCCTATGTGCAGTTGGACAAACGAATATGGAAAGGTTGATGGATTGTGCACAGATCTGAACAGATGTATGTTTGTCCATACAATGTAGAACTTCTGCGCATTCTTACGTAGTGGATTTTACTCTTCTCCCAAATCAAGATTGAGTTTAGCCAACAAAATCAAATTTTTCTTTGGAAGATACAACTGTGTCTGCTCTGTACCATGCATACAAGACCTTACCTGTTCCTGCATCAGGCACCAAAAAAACTAGGGCAGGAAGTACACACTGATAGCTGTTCCTAGCTCTGCTCTACAGATGGCATCACTTCTTTATTACAGGTGACCTCTGGGGGGACAGAGAGTATACTGATGGCCTGCAAAGCTTATCGGGACCTTGCTATAGACAATGGGATCAAAACTCCAGAAATGTATGTATATCTGGCTGGTTTTTTTTTTTCCTTTTTGAGATTTGTCTGTTTGAAATACTGCTATGTGAAACAGCCTGAAAATCTATTTTCTGCTTCTCTTCCTCTGGCAGCTCCAATCTGCTTTCTTTCAGTCCTGTGCCCTTGACCCTTATCCTTCATTCAGCCAAATCCTCAGTGGAGGAGTTGATTTTTGAACATTATTCCCTTTCCCAGCCCCCTAAGTTTAAAAACATGTACTTCTATACTGAGAGTAAGAATGAAATACTTATTTTTAAAAGTGTAATTCAAAGACTACATCTTTGAACTTCGTGCTATTTATTGTAAATTATCTGGAGTGTAAGGAAAGTTCTCTGCTTCTCTTAGTTCAGTGAATGTTATGTAAGTGTAGAGACTGACTCAGGGTGCTCTCTAAGGAAATTCAGCCCAAGAAGGAAAATTATAAAAATCTTCTGAGATTTACCTATATTGCCATAGACATAATTTTAATATTTGGTTGCAGTTTTTTCCTCTACACTGTCTCCTTGTCCAGTGTATTTTTACCACATCTTTTAGTTTAATGTTTTTTCCCACAAGTGTCACTGACTAAAGATTTTCTTGCACATGATTTCATGCTGTGATTCATATTTAGCCTAAGAGAATAAATCAGGCTGATATCTTCCTTAATAATCTTCATAAATCTTCAGTGCTTGGTACTTACTCTCTTTGGTGTTTGATACTCATTAATTCATTTTTCTCCCTTAAGGAAGCAGGTTTAATTGCAAAAGTGGAGTAACTGAGGAGAGTCTGAAAGCAGAAACTTAAGTATGGCTAGGTTTCCTTTTTTCAATACCGTTTGAAATGCTGCTTCCAAGAGTGTAGGAAAAATGTGGATCGTGGTCTTTCAGAGATGGAGGAGACCACTGATCACTGACTGCTGCTGTAACATCCCTGTCAAGCAGTCTCACATTTTCCACTTGAACATGCGCTGTGGCAGGAGTTTGCTTCCCACTGAGGCACCGTCTTTGGATAGCCAGACATTAGCAGGCTCTGCTTCATATTGATCTGATCCAAAATCCCTCTCTCTTATCTTTGCCTGTCAGCCCTAATTTGTGCTTTAGATTCCTCCATGTGGGCCTACTTTTGAGTTCTTCCTCTTGCCAAAATGATTTTCTAAATAGTAGAAAGAGTGAGAAGGATTCTATAGAAAATTAGTTCACCTCTTTTTGTTCATGCTTAAGAAGCAGTATAAGCTTCGTAAAATTTGAGAAAAAATAGTAAGTTTACTCTAGTGACATCAGTTAGCTGCTAACCATGCTCTCTCAAACCCTATTTTGATCTGAATTTCATGATTTTCTTCCCTGTCATTTAGTGTGGCCCCTCAAAGTGCCCATGCTGCATTTGACAAAGCAGCCAGTTATTTTGGGATGAAGATTATACGAGTTCCACTGAACAAAATGATGGAGGTGGATGTTCGGGTGAGTTTCTCTGAGGGGCCATTGTCTGCCTGGGATGAGGAGGACCAGGAAATGCTCCTGATTGAATAGGTTTTTTTCTGGTGTAACCTGCAGATAAGGTGGAAATGCCTTCGATTGTAGCAGTCAGAACTGAATGAACTGCCACTGAGAGTAGTGATTGATTGCAGCTTCAGTTCTTTCATAGATTCATGACTTCTAACAGGAAGATGACCTAGTCCCTAACTTGAGACTTCTGGATCTGGCTTTTGCTTCAGTACTATCATTTGCTCTTTTCTGTTTGTAAAACACTGATGGACTAACTTGCTCTAAGATTCTCATTGTGGTTTTGATTGACCTTAATTAGTACCAATGCCATTATAGTACTTTTTCAGATTTATGTATCTTACTAGCATTATCTCCCTCCCCATCTTTATTGAGGTATTAACTGATATTAATTATTGACAAAAAAACATATTTAAGGTATACAGCTCAATGTTTTGCTACACACTCCCCTACCCCACCTCCTCCCCTCCACCCCTGTGAAATGACCCCTGTGATCTAGCTACTTAACATATCCATCACCTCACATGATTACCATTTTCCTTCTTTCTTTTTTCTTTTCATGGTTAGAATACTTAAGACTATCATCCAAGCAGATTTCAGGTATACAATGAAGTATTGGATAAGTAATGTCACGTGGCTATGCGTTCGATCTCCAGAACATACTCATCTTGTATAACTGAAACTTGGTACTCCTTGACCAACTTTACCTTCATTCTCCAGCCCCTGGCAACCACCATTCTACATTGTGCTTCTTACTATGTTAGATTCCACCTATCAGGAAGATCATGCAGTAATTTGTCTTTCTATTCCTAGCATATTTAGCTTACCATAATGATGTCCAGCTTCATCCATGTTGTCACAAAAAGCAGGATTTTTTTGTTCATAAAAGCGTGGATACTTTTATGCCTTGCATAAACCTTTCCAGTTTTCAGAGTGATGTCAAAACTGCATTTGATCCTATGACAGCCTCTGGAGGATGGAGGCCATTAGTATTGAAGTTCACAGTTGAGGGCACAGACCTGGTGAAGGGAAGTAGCTTCCTCAAGGTTTTTATTGCAAGTAGGTGGGGCTGGGATTCACCTTTGGCTTTTATTTATTTATTTTTTTTAAAGATTTATTTATTTATGCATACAAGAACTGGGGTACAAGCCAGAGGTGTGGGGGTGTGAGAGGATTCACCAGAGACAGCGTAGGGAACAGAACAGACAGATTGACTGAAATACACTGCTGAAGAGAGCAGCGGGCAAGACAGGAGAGGTCTGCTGTGCCATGTGGATTGCTCCCTGGCCGGGGATTGAACTCGTGCTGCAGTGGCTGCAGATAGCTTCATAGGTTGCGCCTTAACCCCTTGTGCCACCTGGGAGGCCCCACCTTTGGCTTTTAGCCGAATATTTTTATCTCCAGTCATCTTGCCTGGGGGTTTCAGTGTGTTTGTTTTCTTACTGTGCTGTATTGTCAGATGATGTTTCCTCACCCATCAAGCCTTGTTTGTGTTCTGTCCCCCTGATGGGTCAGTATTCTCCCAGTCTGGACAGGATAAGAAGGGGCACAAGTACAACCAGAAGGCTAGCTGGTAGCCTGGATTACCCTCATAGGGGGAGAGAGTAACTGTAATGTGGCTTCTCACTTTCCTTGAAACTTTAAAACCCTAGGCAATGAGAAGAGCGATCTCCAGGAATACTGCGATGCTCGTCTGTTCTGTCCCCCAGTTTCCTCATGGTGTATTAGATCCTGTCCCTGAAGTGGCCAAGGTACGTGAGAGATGGGCTGTTGGGTAGACAAATTGAGATTTTTAAAATAGAATCTAGTGGTGCAGTATTTGTCAAATAGAAGCAATTCTGAGTTTAGAGTTGAGCACAGTAGTGATGAATAGCTCTCATCAGCCCTGTGGTAAGCCCCGCAGCTGTGTTTGGAGCCTCTGAAAGTTACTAGCTTCTACCATGGAGGTGTAATACTACAGGAAGAAGTCTTTGTTTAAATTGGATGTTCTGAAATAGTACTGATATTCCAATTCAGATGAGGAAATCATCTGCATTTCCTTACTTGCTAGTAGGGTTGGTATTCAGCGTGTCACCCTGCAGTGCACCCTAATTCTTCCCACCTGCAGTTCCTAAAGCAGGACCTTTCCTCCCTCCAGAGGCAACCTAAATCAGAGTGCTGCTCGTTTCTTGCTTGATTTTACAGTGAGTTGGAGACCCTGCTTACTTAAATACAAATAGACATCACATTTCAGATGAATTTTTTTTTTTTTATAGAGGCATTTTTTTTTTATTTATTTAGTTTGTTTGTTTGTTTGTTTGTTTTGTTTATACATGCACTGGGTACAGTCAGAAGCACGGGAGGGTGAGAGAATTCACCAGAGTCAGAGCAGGGAGCAGAGCAGGCAGAAGGACCGAAGTACACTGCTGAGGGGAGCAGCGGGCGGCAGGAGAGGTCTGCACACCATGTGGGACCCTCCTCCGGTGGCCGGGGAACAGCTGGGGATCGAACCGGCGCCGCAGAGGTCGCCGGCAGCTTCGCAACCCAGCGCTCAACCGCTGCGCCACCTGGGAGGCCCTCAGATGAATTATTTTGAAAGCTAAAGGCATTGGAAAAATCACCCTTTATTAGGAATGTCAAAAACAGCCAGTTTTTTAAAACATGAAAAACCTGTCCACGATGGCCTTGTCCTTCCACCCAGGTTTTGCAAAATTTTTGTTATAGGGCTGTTAGGGGCTATAAATGAAATTCTCGTGAGGTTTTTGTTTTTTGAAACTAGCTGGCTGTCAAATACAAAATACCTCTTCACGTGGATGCTTGTCTGGGGGGCTTCCTCATCGTCTTTATGGAGAAAGCAGGATACCCATTGGAATACCCATTTGATTTCCGAGTCAAAGGTGTGACCAGCATTTCAGCTGATACTCACAAGGTAAGCTTGGGAAGAGACCAAATATCTAATCAGAGTAGACAATTATTTTTGATTAATTTCAACAAAATAAATTGGATAAAATATTAACCTTTCCCGTGAATATAACAAAATATAAAATTAAATCTGGCTTTTTGCTCTTACCAGGCCATTGATTCAGGTGACAAGGTATAGTGATAGAGAGGACAAGCAATAGTGAAAAGGAATATGTTCCCTTTGTGTCAGTCACATGGTGAAGAGCATTTCTCTGTCCACTGACTGTATATAACCAAGACATGCTAGTGTAGTGACCCTTACAGAAAAGTCCTGTGAAGCCTTGACATTCGTTGGGGCAGGAGGGTGGGGCAGTAGAAGAAAGGTTGATGCTGGATTTCTAAGAGGATGTTAATGCAGCCACTCCTGGGGCTCCAGCATCTCAGTGACAGCAGTGTGTTGGCAGCAGTCCTTTGGAAAAGAGGGAAGAACTTATTCAGGAATGTTTGGCTTGTAATGTTTGAAATGCCTGTGCCTGCCAGATCAGTAGGATTCTGATCACCTATCTCCAGATGAGAGAGAAGCAGTTGCAGCCTCAGGGACATGTGCTCTGTGGTTGCACTTTCAGAGCTGGTTTTTAACTGGAGTCTAGTAAATTCTAGTAAAGACCTGTTTTTCAAATTCTAAAGGAGCAGTATCGAATCTTCAGTCAGGGCTGATATTTGCTTTGCTGTCCATGGATCTCCTGTGCTGCTTTTCTTACCCTCCGCCCTTGTTTGGTTCAAGGATTGCAGTCCTTTCCATGTCAGTTTTAGTGAGAGTTAAGTAGGAGGGCACATTTTCTATAAGGAAACAAGTACTGAGTTTATTTTAAAGCTGGATTAATTTGCTGCTAGATTCTAAGTACCATAATGTTCTCAGAAAGCAAGTACAATATGAAGCGAAAAGGGTGGGAAGGGAGTCAAGTCACTTGAATTCCATCCACTCCTGGCTTTCAGTGGTTATCTTTGCTTCCATCCTGACATGCCACTCTAGAGAAGTTTTAAAGAAGGAAAACCACATGCTGGGTGAGGGAGAGAAAGTACACCCGTTAACTTTTCTCATCCCTAAAATAGAGTTTTTAAACGCTATCCCTTAAGTTTCCTCTGCCATTTAACATTCTTTTTTTTTTTAAATATTTATTTATTTATTTATTTGGACAAGCACTGGGTACAGTCAGAAGTGCGGGAGGGTGAGAGAATTCACCAGAGCCAGAGCGAGCAGCAGAACAGGCAGACTGACGAAGTACACTGCTGGGGGAAGCAGCAGGCGCGGCAGGAGAGGTCTGCATGCCATGTGGGACCCTTGCTGGTGGCCGGGGATCGAACTGGTGCTGCAGAGGCTGCAGGCAGCCTCGCAGCCCAGCGCTCAACCGCTGCGCCACCGGGGAGGCCCTGCCATTTAACATTCTAAGTTTGAATTCTTTAATGTGAGTGGGAAATGTATTATTAGAGAAACCAACATGACAAGGAGAAATCTCCATGATATGAGAGTCCTGGGACAGGTCTGCTGTACAGAACTGTGCACTCACCTGTGTGCTTCTTCTCCCCCTCAGTATGGCTACGCCCCCAAAGGCTCTTCAGTGCTGTTATACAGTGACAAGAAGTACAGGAGCTATCAGTTCTTCGTTGCTACAGATTGGCAGGGTGGCATCTATGCTTCCCCAACCATCGCAGGCTCTCGGCCTGGTGGCATCAGTGCAGCTTGTTGGGCTGCCCTGATGCACATGGGTGAGAGTGGATATGTTGATGCAACCAGACAGATCATCAGAACTACTCGCTACCTCAAGTCAGAGTATGTATGTGTGGAAGATTGGTGTTCTGCCTTGTATCTTCCTTGTATGCTGGTGGGCTCGAGGTCTGGCCACACTCCCAGAATTCCAACCCCATTTGCTGTCCTTTTAGAGACCATGGGTTTAGACATCAGCTTAGGGGTCTGGTACTAACCTGGAAAGATATGCTTTCTTGCTCTGCTATGAGTTGGAGGGTCAAATTGGGGCTTCATCTGTAGCCCGTCTTGTTTCCAGGATTGTCTGAACAATTGGCAGCTCTTACCAACTATTCATGTACAGTTTAGTGGTGAAGACAGTGGTTCTCAAGCTTGAGCACGTATCTGAGTCACCTAGAGGGGCTAGTTAAAATGCAGATTGCCGAGCCCCACTCTTAGAATTCTGATTTGGTAGATCTTTATAGGAGTCTGAGTGTTTGTATTACTAGGAAGTTCTGATTAGGTATTGATGCTGCTGGTATAGGAATCACACTTGGAGAATCACTGGAATAATAAAAGAACTGGAGATAAAGGGTTGGGGGTTGGGGCAAAAGGGGCGTGTGTGATAAAATCTGGGTTTAGTCTGAGACTTGAACTAGACTGCATACTATGTCTAACATCTGTTATGTATTATGTGCCAGTCTCTCTCTGTCTGGGGAGAGACTGGGGAGGCTTATTCAGAACATTGAGGGTGAATGAAAGCAGTCAGTAAGTTCTGTTTCATTTGGAAAAGGCCTGCATATGGTTCTCATATACCCATCTGTTAAGAAACGCGGTACCATTTCATGCTTTAGGCCTTGCATATATGACTTTAAAACTGTAGACATGGAGGGATTTTTTTCAGGGTATTTTTTAAAGTACATCTTTTATGCCTCAGATGCCTTTGGGGCCATGTCTTAATACGGGAGTTGGGCAGACAGGTTAGGAGTTGGTGATTCTGTTTCATTGGCTCTAAATGCAATTTGGCCCTTTGAATATTTAGGAATTGCTGATTTCTGTCTAGCCACCTTATTTTAGAAGCGGAAAATCTAAAGCTCCGAAAGGTTAGTTTGTGTCATAAGGGAGATATTGGTTGATTAAAATGATGACCTGAGGAATATATGTGGCTAAATTTCCTTTTTTGTTCCCTTTTTAAGACTGGAAACTGTCAAGGGCATCTTTGTTTTCGGGAACCCTCAGGTATCAGTCATTGCCCTGGGCTCCCGTGATTTTGACATCTATCGACTATCTAACCTGATGACTGCTAAAGGCTGGTTCTTGAACCAGTTGCAGTTCCCACCCAGGTAAGCTTGAAGAAGTTCTTTGCTGTCCTTTGCTTCATGACTTTTGAAGAACTGGGGTTGGAAGGTGACCTGGGACATAGAGCTGGCTTTGCTAGAGCCTAGCACGTGGTGCTATTCAATATCGAAACGAAGACAGCTTTAAAACCCTGGCAGTTAGGTTGCCTCTTAAGACCAGTGGATGGCCATGAGAACCCCCTCACCCTGGTACCCCAAATCTTTCTAGGCTCTATACTCTGATCCATCTTTGTCTACAGCCACATACCGACTCATTACCTGAGTAATACTTAGCTCAAAACCTTCTGAAGGACTTCTAGTAATTCAGTCCTGCTACTGCCTCCTTTAATGTGGTTTTCTCTTAGCTTTCTATGATGCCCTATCCCCATGAGTGTTTATCATCTATGATAGGAACGTCCCATTGGTGGTCACATGGTCGAAGGAATAGCAGTTGACAGTTTTTGAGGGGAGGGGTGGGGCAGAACAGCCATTCTGTCAGGGTGGTGCTTGATGATGATGAGAAGCCCTCATGCTACCCCGTGCTTGACAAGCATGTATCTGAGACCTTGATTCCTAGGACTAGGAATCACAACTAATACTTGTCACAAATAGCATGTAGAAGCAATCAAAACATTCCTATATTGGGGGCTGCTTTATTTTAGAACATTTTTCTCTTTTTCCAAGGTTCATCTTTGTCTCCTTATTCTCTTTTAGTATTCATTTCTGCGTCACGCTAGTACACACCCGGAAGCGAGTAGCCGTCCAGTTCCTAAAGGACGTCCGGGAGTCTGTCACTCAGATCATGAAAAATCCTAAAGCAAAGACCACAGGAATGGTAGGGACACTTGGGGTTTTTCTTCTTGTGGAAGTTTAGGTGGGTGGTTTGAAAGAATTAGATGACCTTGAGTCTGTTCCTGCCTAATCCACAAATCCCTAATCCACAGACCTCTTTCTTTATTTATTAATTGCAGCCAGATATCTGCGTCTCACTGATACCCAGAGTTTTTTAGGCTCAAATGAGATAGACTATATCTAAAGCACCTTATAAATTTGAAAATGCTAAGTACAAAGGCATATGGTGGTAGTGTCTATTGGAGAAGAAAATTTTGACACAGCAAAGGCAGTAAAGCTGTATTCTCTGGAATTTTCTAGAGTAAATTCCATAGGCTGTTTCCTTTGGGCAGAAAGGCAGACTGGGAAGTGCCTATGAAAATTTTACTATGCCAGACGTTTTTCTGAAGGAATGGTGCTTGGCATGGAAATGGAGTGAGGGAGAGAAGGGCACATGGAAAGCAAGGATGGAGGGATGAGGAGGGCAGTGCCACAGCTGTATCTTTGTTCCTGTACCCCTTGTCACTAATACGGATTCTTGGGCTGCTCTGCAGGGTGCGATCTACGGCATGGCCCAGGCAACCGTCGACAGGAACCTGGTGGCAGAATTGAGCTCGGTCTTCTTGGACAGCCTTTTCAGCACAGATGCTGTAACTCAGGGCAGCCAAATGAATGGTTCTCCAAAACCCCGCTGAGCCCAGACCCTTTCTAGCCCCATGGCACTTCTGGCCTCCAGAAGATTCTCGGGGTATGGAACAGGCCACGCACATTTTCAACATGGTCTTGCTCCATAGAGCACAATGAAACAGACCATGCGACAGCTTGATCCTCAGGATTCTTGTTCCTCCTTTCATCATCCTTTTATGGTTTTTAATGTGAAGATCCCCCCAAAATTCCATTACATAATTATTTTGCCCTTGTTATAAATGTTACCCTAGGAGTTATTATAACCATTTCCTTCTCTAACCTCTCTAGCTTTCAACTACCACTTAATCATTGTGTGGCAACTCTGACCTGTCCTGATTCCTTAGGGAAGCTGGGGTACAGTTTATGAGCTAGAAGGTTTTCTTTGTTATTTCAGGCAGATTGGCTAGTCAGATGGGAAGCATTTAGGTAACAGATGTCCCCCAGTGGGTGTTAGCCATACTCTAAACAGGAGGCCTTTTCAGCTGTCCTCTTTGAGTAGGTTAGTTGGCCCTCTTAGAGTCACTTTTATTAGAATTTGTTTTTCCAGGACACACATCACCAGGCTATTCCCAGTTTGCAGGCCCCATCGACAAGGAAACTTGGGAGCGGCCCCTTGGTCCTCCTCTGTGCTGGCAGTCCTATTTGGCACTCGGGTGCCATCATTTTTGGAGATTGTTGTTTGAAAGGTTGACCCATTGATTTGTTCTTGTTTCTTGGACTAGGAAGAGGGTGTGGTTTCCCGAGAATCTAGGACTTTCTGGTCCAGGGCTGTCTCTCTGAAATGGCATGATCTGAGTATGCCTGCTGGTGCTCAGAAGCCAGACTGTTTTCTACACTTTGCTGAGGATCAGAGTAGGATGAGCACCTGACTTCAGATGCATGTCACAAGGGTGCTGGTGATCGTCCTGCCCTCTGTTGCTTTAAGGCATCATGTATGAGAATGTTTTGCTTGAAGAAACAGCTCAAAAGCACCTTCACAAGTTGCTTTGGCTTACCCTAAGTGGGTGCACGGAGGCATGAGAGCGCCCCCAAGGCAAGGACACTTTTCTCTCTCCATTAGTGTGTCCTTCCTGCCTTTCCCCCCTTTATTCAGCTCCCAAAGGTACTATGGCAACTTAGCCTCAGGTACAAGATGCTTTTCAGCCTGGCTAAGATGAGATAAGCTTTTTGGAATAGGAAAACATGATGGCAAGTGTTGTTTGTGGACTCGGGCTTGGGATTCCTTCCTAAGACTAGTTGCTCAGGGTGGTGCAGGGAGAGGACCAGACCCTGCACCCACTTCCTCCTCCCCTGCATGGGCCCTCACCCCTCCTGTCTGATGACAACATATCGTGTGCCTTTCTCTTCAGCCGTGAGCAGTGGGGGCTATTCCTGACAGACCCTAGAGGAAGTAATCAGTCTTTGAGGCTTTTCTTTGGGTAGAGGAGTACTTAGGATAAGTCAGGAGAAACTTTCCTCTGTTCCATTGCCCTTCTCAGGGACTCCTGAATATTCAGCCTCCTCAGGCTAGTGTCCTCTCGCCTCTGCTGGGAATGCTGGCCAGAGAGCCAGGCTCACTGACTTTCCCCCAGGCTTTTTGTCTGAAGTGTTCTGTAGCACTGTACTTCCTGCATAGTAACTGTGACTAGCTAGCCATCATTGTGGGGCTGGTTTGGGGGTGTGCGTGTGTGTGTGTGTGTAGGTATGTCTCTTCCTGCCTATCGTGGGTTCCAAAAGTCCGGTGTATGTGTGTGTGTGTCTGTCTGTCTGACATCTTTTGGACATGGGAGTCACAATCCCTTCAGTTGCTAAACTGGTGGGTACCTCCTGAAAGAGAAGCTGTGGTGGGAGCTGTGCGTGACGTCTCTTGGGTCCCCAGTGCGTTCTTAAGTTGGTGGCAGTGCAGGGCAGATGCTCTGGCAGGCACCACTGATTTGTCAGCTTCTAAAGTGGCGCTGCACGTGCCCTACAGATTGTGCTGTTGTTTCCAGTGTCTCCTTGGGACCTTCCTCTGTGCTGTGACCACGTTGTTGCCAGGGGTGATGGTGTATTTCAAAGGGACCTACTGTTGCCACTTTCATTTATGATCACAAGCCTTAGTTTGATCCAGTACTTGCGGGCTTTGCATTCTGTGTGTATCTGTGCATGTAGTAACACCTAGTCTGGAAGAGGCGGAGGAATGTCTTAATATCATGTTGCTGGCAGATGTCATTTTGGCTTCTGCGAAAACTGTACTGTTGTTTGTGCAGTAGAAGTAGTTGTGTGAAAATACTGCCATGTCACTTTTAATATTACCAGTTTTATACTTGGAAAATGGTACTTGCCTCTTAAATCTTTTGTCTTTAACCTCCCCTCTCTTTCTTAGTAACCCTTCCTCATTGCAGCAATAATCTCTTTTAAAAAATTAAGTAATAAAATATCCCAAATGTTAATCGTCTTGAATGGTTGCATTCATTTATTTGGGCACAGGGAGATCCCAGGAGGGGGTGGCAGGAGCTCTTGACCTGGCTACTGATGAGAGCGCGCCCCCTTTTGGTGGAACGGTTGTGTGTGACGCTGATACCAAGGCCAATAGACCCAGGCAGGGAACAGCAATCCTGTCAGCTGGAAACACTTTCATAGGTAGTGGGGGGGGGGGGGGCGGCGCGCGGCGCGGGAATGGTGATCATACCTGTTTTAAGGTGGTCTAGAGCTCAGGTCTTTCAGTGACTCAGGGCCTGGGCACTGCCTTATATTTCCGTCATTTTCGTCATCCACTTCTGCTTATACCTTCATGATGCATTAAGCCATCTGGGATGGTCTCCAGCCAGCTGGGTACTTGGCTCTCTCTTAGCGAAGGACACTGACTTGCAGCCCTGTGTTTGGTTTGGGAGCTGCTAGAACTGCTCCGGTTGTCTGTGCCAACGTAACTGAGCTTCTTGCGCCATCATAACTGAGAAGTCGTTCCAAAGGGTTATATTAGGGTTTCGAAGGCTGTCATTGAGGTGACCCTGCTTTTCACTGTCTTTCAGCCCATTCAGACTTTACCAGGATCAAGCTGAGGCATACCACCTTTGCAATAGTTTTCTGCTAAATGACTCAGATCCCTGGGCCTCTACTTACTTTGGGGTGAATGCTACACTACAGAGAGAGGGGCTGGCCTATACTTGGTTAGGCCTGGATGTCTGGATGCTTATATCTTCTTACAGTTATAAACATTCTCTGTGGGTCCTTGGTAGCAAAGAGCTGTTGTTAATTAGAACCAGTAGTAACAGAAGTAATAACGAAGACAGATTTTGACAACCACTAGCTCTACCACGGGTAAGCAAAAGTCAGGTATTCGGAAGCCTTTTCTTGAGTTTTACTTTTTCCTGCCTTTTTTTTTTAAATCATAATCTCTCCTAAGCATCTGTCCCTTTATTTTCAATTATTTGCATTAACATTAGAATAAATGTTTGTTAAAAAAAGTTACCTGAATCTGTGTCCCACATAAAGGTGCTTCCTACAACTGTAGTGTCCGCTTGATTGGTGTTTTTTTCACCTTTGGTCCTTGCGAATAAGCAGAGGCAGAAAGGTGACATAATACTAGTCCACAACTCCATGTTTGGTGGCTTCTGTCCCCTAATCCTAAGCCGGTCATCAGGTCAAAGTACACTTAGAATCATCTAGTCAGCAGTGGAGCAGACGGAGGGCCACTGTCTGAACTGTGCTGAGAGCTTGCTATTAACATAGGTGCCAAGAGTCCTTACCATCCTAGAGGCTGGGAAGGAGGTCCTGTAGTCCCATCTTACCCAATAATATGCTTATTTTCTCAAGCACCAATTTTATTTTTCTGGTGCTGCTGCAGGACCAACTCATCCAGGATAACTGGGGCATGGTAATGCTAAATTGCCTGCTCCAGGTGACCCTGCATTTATAGCTTGAAGTCATTATGCCTTGGGACCCAGGCAGCTTCAGGTTAGGGGTACAAGATGAGAACCCATCTGGAGAATGGCTTCCCAGCCTCTTGCATAATGGCTTGTGTGAAGTGACAGCCCTGCACATAGGGGAGAGGAGACTGCTCTGTGTCTCTTCTCACAGACATCCGGGGGGACATTCTGCCGTAGAGAGTTCCTGGTCAGACCACCTGCAGATCAACTCCTTAACTGCTTGGATAATAAATAACCTGTTACTCCTTAGCTCTGGCTTTCGTTTTCTCCCAGAGAGAGTAAAAGCAGGTGAGCCTTGGGTCTTCAGCTAAGTTTCTAAGAAACTGTAGAAACTATCAAGATTAGAAATCTCCCCGTCAGATGTTAGAGGCCAGGAAGAAAATGAGGCCCCAGCCGGCCTGTAGGACGGGTGCCTTCTACCTTTATGTTTGCTCAGGGGCTCCCTCAGGCACCTCTGCCTCAAGAATCCTATTCAGTACTTCCAGGTACATCTCAGATGAAGCCTCCAGAGTTAGTTCATTGCTTCATGTTCCCTTAGCTGACTTCTTGCATCTGGCATTGACTTAATTCACCCTGCCCAGTAATCGTTAACTGTTTTCCTGTTGAAGTCCCCTAGAAGATCATGAACAACCCCAAGGCAGAGTGGCCTGGGCTCCTCTTCCCCCAGGGCTTTGAATAGTGTCTTGCGCAGAGTAAGTGCTTTAAATGCCCACTGGCTTCACTTTGGATTGACCTTGGAAAAAGATTCTAGAGCCTGAGGCCAAGTGAAACAATACTTTTTATTTGAGGCATGAAAGCATGTGTTTCTGTTACTACTGGATGGGGTTGACTTAGGGTCCTGTTTTCTACGATGAGACTTTATCAATCTTAGAACACAGCTCTACTCAGCTTCTTGAGAAATGAAACAGGAAAAGATCAAGATACGGCCAGAAAGAAAATTACTGCTTGGAAGTTATAAAAGGGAAGATCTTACTCAAATTAGTGTACATGTAACAGAGCCCCAAGGATGAAGAGAACGGTGTGGGGGACGAAGGTCTATGGTCCTGGTGTTGGCAGAGATGCTGGCTTCTCTTTCCACAGCAAGGACTCACCCTAAGCAGAGGCCACAGGGTCAACATGACAGTTCTGAGTGCAGCTAGATCCTTGGGCTCCCGAGTTCCCTTTTTGGATTCCCAGTTCAGTCACCCCTTCCCCTGAAGAATTCAAAGGGCAGGTCTAGGTCATGGTCACTGCTACTTGTTCGATGAAGCTGGCCAGGTTTATGTCCCGTTCTGACAGGCCTGCACACTCATGGGTGCTCAGGGTGATGTGGACCTGAAACAAAACCAGAGATTCGGGGCCAGCTGATCCCACGAGCTTACCTAAAAACAGGAGGGAGTCCCTGGGCACTGGCCTGGCCACACTAAGGCTCCTGACATGTCTGCCTTCTACTAGTCTCCACAAGTAGTGGTGACTTCAGCTGAAGGCTGAAAATGAGATACCCAAATATCAAGAGCAATCTGAAAGCTCACAAGACCAATGACCAACTTTGGCTCCGAAGTGCTACCCTTTTCCAGATAGTCTCTTCGTTTTAATGTTTTCATAAAGAGCCCAGCACTGCTCTTGGCAAACGGCAGGCACTTAATCTGTTTCCATTCATTAAGCAAACAGTCTGATCTGTTTGCTGTGCATGGGTATCCTTAGTTCAGATTTATTACTTTTTCTTTCTTCATGCCTCCAAAACGATTGAGGCCATTTAGCGCTATTAACAAGGATGCCTAATTCCCACAGACTTTCCTTCCTTTGGGTTGGCCTTTTAGTGTCTCCTTTGACCATAAGTGATCTCACCAGTCTTTTAATGAGACAGTATTTTCCAGGGGTGTTTATGTGGCTTATGGAAGGGGGTGAACTGGTCAGGGGCAGCAAGTAGCTAGTCAGCCTTTGGGTGAATAAGGGCCGGAGGCAGATCCCAGAAAAGGGTCTTCCGAACAAACTGGAGTTTTCAGAACTCACACAGGCCAAGCACAGCAAGCCCACCTCACTCACCTTGTTGTACACGTTAAACCATTCAGGGTGGTGGTCCAGTTTCTCAGCCTGCAGCGCCACTCTCGTCATGAAGCCAAAAGCCTATTTAGTGAAATGAGACCCAGGTCAGTGTTCTGAGAGACACATGGCTGGGCGCCTTTTTAAAGGCCAGTGTATGTGTAGAGACATAAGGGTGGGCTAGCTCCCTGTAAGGAGACCTCTCTAGCTCTAATCACTGCCCCTGGAATCCTGCCACGGGTTCTGTGGCTGCAGGTGGTCTTGTAGCAGGAAGAGTCTTGTTACTGGAATCACTAACAAGGTGGGAATGCCAGGGCGGTTTGCATTTCTGTCCTGCCCAATTCTGGCTGTTTACTACAATGTCTTCATGTGCCCCTCTTTCCACCCTGAACTATCTCCTCTGAGGATAGTCTGGGAAAACCCCAGGCACGGGGAGCCCAAGACCCGCCTCCCCACTCTCCAATCCCCCAGGATGACACTTTCCCAGAAACAGGTAGTGTCGTGTCTGAGCCTTGGCATGAGGACTCGAAGAGAGAGGCCAGTTCTGGAGTGTGACCCATCAGCCCTGGTGCTGTACCCTGTTGAAGTCTTTGAAATGGAACTGCTTGAAGATGGCATCTCGGCCTTCCAGCTCATTCCACCCCACAGCCCTCAAGTTTGGCAGCAGCTGGTCCCTCTCTTCAGCACTTAGCCTGTGTGCTTTGCCAGCCTGCAAAAGGAAGAAAACAAACAACAACATCAAAAAACCAGAGGCCTAAGGGCATTTCTTTTTACAGGACAAAAGAGAGGGCCCTGACCTTTGGGGGCAGTTAGCCAGACTCCTCTGGCTACTCTGGGGATGCAAAGGGCAGCTGGTCTAAAGCGATGGACTGGGAGGTAGGGCCCTGGCTCCGATCTGATAGGTTCTTAGGCTTGATACTCCACTTAGAACAGATTCTGAGGTGTAAGAAAAGTCACTGGGACTGAGAAACACTCCCGCCACCCCTGCCCCCTGCCAAAGCATTACACAGCCCTCCCCCCACCAAAAAAAAAAAAAAAAAAAGAGAGAGGTCTCTTAACAAGGGAATAAAAGCAAATTCAAGCCCAGATACGTCTGTATTACAACACAACCTTTCAGAAAGAGAACCGCTGGCTGGCCAATTTCCTTTTTCTATTATGGGGAGATCCAGGCCACCCCATGCCCCTACTGGTACCCATGTCAGGTGTATTTAAGAGGAAACTGAGGCCTAGAGAGGGGAAGTGGACCTCCCCCCACCTCCCACCTCATCCCCTCACCCCGCCCCCAGTCAGTGAGAGCACAGACAGTGGGTCTAAGCCTGCATCCCTTCAGCCAGCTGGGCGGAGGAAATGGTGCTCAACATGTCCAGGCGACTCTCAGCTACACTGCAGTTGGCAACCACGGCACTACCTCCCTGTGGGTGCTGCACACGCCCCCTGCAGCCTCTGGTTCCCATCCGTCTGGCCTAGGTTACTCAGATTTTCCCACCTTTTCTGTCCACTTGGGAAGACAGGACCACCAAGCTCAATCCCCAAAGAGGAAATAACTTGGGCAGTTGGTAAACCTAGTGCCCGTCCTGTTTACCTCAAGCACCTCACATAGGCACATTACAGAGCAGATGGTACGAAGGGCAGCTGCATCCTCTAGGAGGATCCAGGTCTAGGCGTTTAAGGGATTCCAGAGCCTAGGCTTCTCAAACAGAGCCAGCCAACGGCAGAAACTCGAGCGTGCTCAATTAAAAATGAAATCAGTAAGGTCTGGGAAGAAAATGTAAGGGGGTTAATTTAGTGTGTATGAGGTAGGTCAAAGATGGGGAGCCTTGGGTGGAGTCAATGGGACTGGGTGAAGCACCTGTTCTGCCAACATGGGCCAGCAGGCCTGGTGCACATCTCTCTTGGGTCAGGGCAAAAGAGGACGAGAACTTCCACGGGACAGAGCAGCAAGAGGAGCCAATGGGACACGAGTAAACACCATTGCTTCTTATTAAGGGAACACCATTTGCATTTTCAGAAGAGGCTTAGATAGGCCTGGCCTGAGACAGGCAAGGAGGCTGAGATAGGCCTGGCTGGTTTGGGTGGGATTGGAAAAGCATTGCAGAGCCCTCAGTCCTCATCCTTTTTTCCCTTTTGAAAACACAAGTTGTCTCTGGACTGATCTGGCTTGGTCCGGCTTCTCTCCAGGCCTTGGAAACGCAGTAGAGATCTGTATCTGGTGCTCAGCCTGGCTTCATTTCAGAAAGGCCCTTTCTCAGCAGCTGATAAGCCTGGTCCCTGTTTCCAGGCAACAGGATGACCAGATGTCAGCCAAGGCATCAGAAACCACCTGTTTAATTCTCTGGTTCCGAAAGGAGTAGGTGGGTACTAGTGAGCTCCTAGGAGATCCTCTCACCTCCCCAAAGAAGACTTAAGAGTCTGGAATCCCCCAAGTCTCACAGCCTGGGGCTGAACTAACTGACAAGCCCTTTAGAGATGGAATTAGAGAGGGGGCAGGGGCTTGTTTGCTTAGTAAATCACAAGTCAGGCCTGGACGGGCCTTAGCCTCTGGGGGAGGGTGCAGAGGAGTTACTGATTACCCATGCCCTGCATCTCTGAAGCCACAGAGCACCTCACCATCAGCCTCACTCCCCACCACCCTTCCCACCCACTGCAGCCATCAAAACAGCCTCTGCCCCCCCCTACCAGGTGTCATCACAGGCCCTACTGTTCCACTGCTTTGGAGCCTGAAACAGGCTGTTAGGTAAAGCTCCCCGCCTCTAGACTGCCTCCTTGAAGCACAGCTAACCACAGGGCTTGAGACCTTCCCGCGGGGTAGGTCCTGAGCAATCAGCTCCCCATCTTGAGCATTAGCCTTGACTTAAGTGCCAGGGGCGCACTGGGAGGTGGGGGTAGGCACTGGGAGTACAGAGGCCTTCGCCAGCCCTGTGCCCATAAGTGCAAGGCAGGTCAGCACAGACACACAGAGGAGGATGCGGATGGAATCTCCCCGCTTTTACACACTCACAAACTGGCGACCCCCCTACCCCCACCCCAGGGAGACCAGAACCAGCACGGGCTCACCGGGCTGCCCCGCCCACCTCCGCCCAGGGAGGTCACTAGGCCCCGCCCTCAGATTTGCACTAAGGGGGCACCGGCCTGGCAGCCAGGGGCAGGCCTGGGCTCCCGCCTCGCCAGTCCCCCATCTGCCACCTCCCTGCCCCCGACCTCAGTTCTAGGACACCACCGGGAGGGTGGAGCGGGGCGGAGACCCCCGACTCTCCGAGATCGGGGTGAGGCAGATCGTCTAGGGGCTGGAAGAGAACCTCCCCGCCCCCACTGGGCCACCCCACCGGTTCCTGGCTGTCGGCCCCGCAGAGACCCAGCGCCGGCCCCTTCCTCTCCGCCCCGCCCGCGCGCCGGCTCCTAATGGAGCTGCGGGGATCGCAGCAGCGCCTGCCCCCCCTCACCATGTCTGGACGCGGCGCGGACGCGGACCCGCAGCAGGTGGCGGCGGAGAGGCCTCACGGCTCGCGGCGCAATGGGCGGCCGTCGGGCGGGGCAGCGCTTGGGTGCAGGGGGGCGGTGCGTGCACCCGGGAGGGGCCGCCCACCCATAATCATTAACTCGGCCGGGGCAGCCGGCTCCGTCCGTTCGTCCGTTCCCTTCCGGCACTTTCCTCCTGGCCTTTGTTACCTGGACATCAGGGCTCAGGTGTGCTCAGGCTCCGAAACAAGGCTGCTGAGCCGGATCCTGCACCGCCGCTTACAACCACTTACAACGCTGTGACTCTGGCGCGAGACTGACTTTTTCAAAAATACTTTGTGGAGATATTGACATCCAGTAAAATCCATATTTAAAGTGTACAGTTTGATGTCTTTGGACATATGCCCCTGTGCAGACATATCATCGTGAACATATCCATCGTGAACATATCCATCACTCCTAAAAGTGTCCTCCCTTGTCAGACAACCGTTGATCTGCTTCCACGCACTAAAGATTACATTTCCTAGAATTTTATGTAAATGGAAATTATACAGTGTGTATTTTTGAGTCTGCTTTCTTTCACTCAGCATAATTACTTAGGTTCACCCATGTCCTTGCATGGATCGAGTTTCTTCCTTTTTATGGACTAAGTAAAATCTTATAATATTACATTGTATGGATATGCCACAATTTCTCATGGGCGTTGGGGTTGTTTCCAGTTGTTTGTTTTTTTTTTAAGATTTATTTATTTATACAAGCACTGGGTACAGTCAGAAGCTCGCGGGAGGGTGAGAGATTTCACCAGAGCCAGAGCGGGGAACAGAACAGGCAGACTGACGAAGTACACTGCTGAGGGGAGCAGCAGGCGCGGCAGGAGAGGTCTGCACGCCATGCGGGACCCTAGCCAGCAGCCGGAGATGGAATGGGCGCTTCAGAGGCTGTGGGCAGCTTCACAGACCAGCCCTCAACCGCTGTGCCACTAGGGGAGGCTCTGTTTCCAGTTTTTGACTATTACCAATGAAGTTGCCTTGAACTTACACATGCAACTCTTTGTATGGAGTTTGTATGTATGCTTTGTATATATGCTTTGTATATATGTATGGAGTTTGTATATATGCTTTGTATATATGCTTCTGCTTTTCTTGGATAGATACCTAGAATGGCATGGCTAGATCATATGGGTAGTTGTATGTTTATAACTGTTAGGAAACTGCCAAAATGCTTTTTAAAATGGTTGTACCATTTTACATCCTTACCAGCAATATAGGAGAAATTCCAGTACCCTTCCACCCTCACAAATGACCAATCCTTGGTATGGTTGTCTGTTCATTTTTAACCATCCTAATGGTTGCTAGTGTCATTGTGGTTTTGAGTTTCCTTAATGATTAATGATATTGATCACCTATTCATGTGCTTATTTGTTACGGTAACCCAAGGTCTCTAAGACTTTGTTCTATGGTTTTATAGCTTTTGGTTCTACATGTTGATCTTAGATCCATTTTGAGTTAATTTTTATATGCTTATGTAGGCTTGTTGGTAAAGTCATGACATATTTTTTCTGTTTTCTATGCAAAAATGTGTCATGATTTTTCTGACAACCTAATAGATCCAGCCTCACTTTTGCATATGAATATATTCAGTTGTTCCTTTCTTCCTTGCCTTCCTACCATTATAAACATCAATTGTCCTCATATATATAGGTTAACTTGTGGGTTCTCTATTCTGTTCCATTAATCTTAAGGGTAAGACCTCCCCAAGATATTAAGAATAGTACCGCCCATGACACACCACTTTGGCATGTGGCTAATTTCAAGATGAAGTCAGTGGAGGCCCTGGCAGTCTCCTGAGAAATTTTAACTAATCCCTTAACTACCTCGAAAGATGAAAATTGGGGTTGTTACCCAGAATAGGGATTATTACCAGAAATAGCCTTTCTGTCTGAAAAAACTAGGTGTAAGGCAAGACAAACATCTGATTGTCAGGTAACAAGGTTAAAAGCTAAGCCCCCACTCCTTGCCCAGCAGGAGCTTTGGGGGACTGGAATAGATAAAGGGAATTGATAAGGTTGCTATGGGAACCAGGCCATAAGACTGGTCATTTTGACCATGAATGCAGAAGCAGGGCGAGGGCTCATTCTGTGCCAAAGGCCAACTCCCAAGACAAGGCATCCCAGCACTAAGTGGCCCAAACTGACTCTTCCAGTCAGGAAAAGCCCACAAAAACAGGTTATAAAAGGGAGCCTCAAATCCTTTATGTGCAGACATCTCCCTTGCAAGGTATTTCAATAAATCTGCCTTTTCTGTTCTCCCCTCTGTCTCTGGTGGATTCTTTTACCCCCGAGCCTCTGGCTTCACCCCGCTATTTCTCCCCGCTACACTAATTACAGAGCATCCGCTCTTCATCATGTGACTCACCCTCTCCCGGTCACGGGAATCTCCCTCATCTCTCCTTGATGCTCCATCCTAGTCCAGCGTTTGGATCCAAGCTCAGAATTATATGTTCCCATTTACCTCACTGTCTTTGCCCTCCTTCTGTCTATGTAGAGTCCCCCATGCACGTAATTAAATTAGATTTTTTTCTCCTACCAATCTTCCTGGTGTTCATTTGGTCAGTTGGTCAGCCCAAGATGAAGGGAGAAATTTCCCCTCCTCCCTGACAATCTATCAGTATTTGTCCATCTTGATGGTAATACCATACTGTGTTCATTACTATAGCTTTGTAAGTCTTGAAGTCAGCCAATATAAGTGGTCTAATTAAAAAACATTTTTCCTATTAACCTTTACCCCCATGCGCCACTTGGATTCCTCTCCTCCCAATAGTGTTTTCTAATGTGTTAATAAGTAATTTTATTTGTATGAGTTCTTGTGAAAATGTGCTTGTGGTTGCATCTGTATTTTTTGTATATGGTAGACCACACCGTGGCGGTGAGACTCAGGCATGGTTTATTGCTCTACCAGGGATGGACACTCAGGTGGCCTCCAACTGTACCACCACCACCACTAATACCCCAAACACATGAGTGTGCAACCTGCAGATGCACAGACACACACATGCACACACACAGGGCAAAACAACAAATTGATTTTTCAGGGGCGTCTCTTCCAACTCAGTAACTCCCTGGCCTGTGGGAATGTCCTAGGCAAATAAAAGCATGTCTCACAAATCCAGTCATTCCCCATGGGGTGTGTATCCCCAAAGAGTTCCAGACGCTGTCCAGAATGGCTGCATCAGTCAGTCCTCATATGCAATTTGGAGGGCTCTTATTACCCTTCGTGCCTCACACACTCATACTCGCACTTGGCACTATCTAGTTTTCTGCATTTTGCCTAGTTAATAGGTATAAAATGATACCTCGTTGTTTGCCGTTACATTTGTCTATTACTCATGATGCTGAGCACCTCTTCCTATGCTTGTTAGCATGGGGGCTTATTGTTTGCAAATTGCTTTCTACTGTCCTTTGCCAGTTTTTTATAATTTACTGTGCTTTTATACTTTTTAGTTAATTTGCAGGAGTGTCTGTCTAGGCACAATTAATCACATTAATTGCATGTCAGCTTTAGATATTGCAAATATCTCCTCCCATTCCACCCTCTGTATACTCAATTCCTTCATGATGTCCTTTGTTGGCAGAAATCTTAATTTTGACATAGTATGATCAATCTTTCTTCTCTCTATTTTATAATCTTGTGCTTTTAAACCTTTTTTTTTAATTTGTCCCCTCCCACTGCATCACAAAAATATTCTCCTTTTTTGGTGTCATATTTATACTTAAATACATTTAAGACTTAACTGTCAAAGTTCCTGTTGTGTACAACGTTAGGCAGAACTTGGCTGGTCTTCAAAGCTGGCCCTCCAGTGACCCTTGACTCCCAGTACTCACCTCGGTGTCTTCTGTAATCATCTGCCAGGCAGGGAGGAGGCTTCTCTGCTGCCCAGACCTTGGGATGACTTCAATCTCTGCGAAGATCTGACTGCAACCCCATGTGAAAACAGTGCCCAGCAGGGACCTGGCAACTCACGGAACTATGAGAAATGGCAGTATGTTTTCATTTTAAGCCACCAATTTTTTTAAAGCTTTATTTTTATTTATTTTTTGCATAGAAGAACTGGGGTGTAGGCCAGAGGTATGGGGGGTGAGAGGACTCGCCAGAGACAGAGTGGGGAACAGAACAGGGGGATTTACTGAAATACACTGCTGAAGGGAGCAGCAGGCAAGACAGGAGAGGTCTGCTGCACCATGTAGGTCAGCAACCTGGCCAGGGATCTAACTCATGCCACAGTTGCTAGCGATAGTTTGATAGTGTTGAGACTAAAACCCCTGTGCCACCAAGGAGGTCCTAAGCCACTAAATTTTGAGGTGGCATGTTATACAGCAATAGATAACAGGACAAATCAATTGGTACCCCAAAGTGGAGTGTTAAGAGTAAGAAGGAAACAGATAAATATCAGGTGGTTTCACTTACATGTTGAATACAGAGAAACCAAACAAAAGGTTAAGAAAAAAATGACCAAACCTGCAAGCTGACCATAGACCTGGGGCATCCAGCAGGGGAAGAGGAGGTTGAGGGGTCAAAACAGGGGAGGGAAGAGCACATGGGGCTAGGGTGATGGATCACAGGTGCAGTGGTGGAGGGAGAACTGGGGACTATACCTGAAGGGAGAAATCAATTGCTGTAAAAAATTGAACAACGATGTAAGGAAATATTTAAATAATGAGCAATTGCTTGAAAAGCACCTGGCACATAACCATTATATAATAAATGTTGCTAATTTGAAAAAAAAAAAAAAAAAGGAGCAAAAGGGTTGCCAAGGGTAAATGGGTAGAAGGAGAAAGGCAGGTTTCAAAGACAGGCAGACGTTGCACTGGCCCAGGACTAGCACCCACACTGACAAGGAGAAAGACCTGGAGAAATCACAGTATCATCACTTTTCTTCTTTTCACAAGGGAGCTGAGGTCACAGGCAACCAAGGAGTCAGGGGTGCAGACCAGCTCACCGGCGCGCCCTGGGGGTGGGAGGGGGAGACACAACTTCCACGCAAG